TGTGAAATGATTTTGTGGCTGCTTTGTGGATTGTGGTACAATACAGAAAATTAAGTTCATATTATTAAAACATTTGTGATTATTTCTCCTAGGGAATCATGACAAAGTATTTGCCCTTTGTATATTTTTAAACATTCTATTAACAGGGAAATGTCCATCTTCTGATATTTTCTTCTATACCCTTTTGGCAGCACCTTTTGATTTGAATGAAACCAAATAGAAGCTACCTATTATTGCTGAATTCCTGTGATTACTGAAAAGAAGAAAATCTGGGATGTAGAACAGTGAAGGGAAAAATTCACCTTTCCAAAGGTAACGAGTTGCAAGTGCTAAAAGAGCATCATCTTCACATCAAATCAAGCAAGGTACAGGATTCCAGAAACAACATGCCAAGAGGCAATTTCTCAGCAAGATGTTAGCATCAGAACACAAAGTGATGTGTCTAGAAGCAGAACTGCTGAGCTGCAAACAACCTGGGTGTGAGTCAGAGAATATTAGGACAGTGCCTGTCCACCAGGAATATAGACTTGATCGCATGTGACTTGTGTCAACTCTGGAGACATCAAGAGCAGAACATAAAAGCAAGGGAACAGAGATATTTCTAAATGAGCCATTCAGCCTCTAAGGCAACGAATCTGGCAACTACTCCCGTTCCAAGTGAAAAAGTCAACATTCCAGGTTTGCGTTCCATGGTTATATCCTTCATTCATTTTTTTTCAGGAAAAAGGTCACTGAAACATCATGTTTTAAATCATTAAAAGACACAATCATCTCCTTTTAGACTAGCCCATAACTTTGAAAGCAGAATCCAATTGCCTGTTCAGGCTCATTAGTGTCTTTGGATCCTAATGACCCACTCAGTTGCAGTAAATGAAAAACTAATCCTCATTTTATGCCATTGGCCGAAAAGGATTAGCCAACCCTTGCTACCCATGCAATCAGCCTTGCACTGGGGAGATTACTGCTATCTAATACTGTAAGTCTACACATTCCAATCTGTTACAATAAGTAGCACTTAAAGCTTATTTCCTTGAAATGCTTAAGCGTATTAATGCTATAGTATAAGAGTTTTCTTATGATGCAATGATTCTTCTACCCCTGCCCCCAAAGTTTGCATTTACCTACACATATGCAGTGATACCCATTTACTTCCAACATAAAGTTTTAATTATGTTCATAGTCTTGAAATTAAAAATTAAACAGAAATTTTTTCTTTGTAGAGGTCCCAAACTGGGCAGGCAACGAATGGCATTCAGTGTAGTAATTTTCTTGAACTGTGTGAAAGACTGCAACTTAGACTGTAAACAGTTGCAACTGAAAGCAGAGTTTTAATTAATTGTTTGATATTTAAAGATCCAGGTGATTTTTTTTGCACCCTACTATTAATCTTAACAGGTAGCCAGAAATAGAGTCACTACTTACATTTCATGTTCTCTAATCAAGACTGCGGGTTGTAACTCAATTTTGTACCACTTGTATCACTGCAATTTTTCCAATCCAAAATTCTGATTGCTGTTGATGTATTACACATAAAAATTAATGACCAATTGTATGAGATGCATCTACAATGTGACGCTGTATACATTGTGGGTTTTTTTTTCTCAAAGTATTCACACAATGTTATCATTGAAAATCTAATATGTTAAAGAACCAGTTTTAACACCATCACATGCCCCATTCATACTTGAACACCAAACAGTTTTTTCTGACATAAAATTAAAGAATTCTTGTTTTTATCAGTTTAAACATTATATATAGCAGCACAATGAAATTTGTCCTAAAGAATGTTATGCTATGCATAATGTGCTTTATATTGATAGACTTAGGTGGAAGCTACAGAAAATGAGTAAATTGCTTTTAACTGAAAACATGATTTTTGAGTGGGAACAGTTTGATGAATGTCTAATTTTCTATCAAAGGTGGTGCATGAAGCCATAAAATAGCATTACAATAAATGCTGTATCCCACAACTGCTGGAAGTCATTCTGTTAGTCTTTACCTCTTAGTTTCTAAATTAATTTTTAGCATTAAACCTGTCCAGCTGTTGCTTATTTGTTAGTCAAATATCCTGGAGTGTTTATAGGCATGATTTACATTTATGCCTCAGTAAAATTAACGGTAAAATTGTAGACAGAGCTCCAGTCAAAGTGTTATATCACCTTACAAATTATAATGAAATTTTTTTACTGAAAGACCACTTGGCACAACAAGGCAAATGTGGAGAAATGCTCTTTGTGTTATTTCTGATCAGAAAAATGACATCTCCATATAGGTATTATTTCTCTGGGAGAAAGAAAACTGAGGCATCAGTGTCTTCCTCCTGGAAGCAGCGGGTAAAAGTGTAAATTTCATTCTTCACTGTTCAAAAATTAATTGATTCAAATGTCATTATATATCCTACCATTTTGGTGACATAATGTATTTAATCAGCAGTGACCTAATTCCGGGTGGTACGCTAGCTTTTATGAGGAATTTTGAAGTTAAATAGTTTTCTTTCAAAAAGTCATTAAAAACTTAAATGGAACAGTGAAGATATCAGGGCCCTAAATAACCATTTGCCTTCTGGTTAGGATACTCATATAAGATTCAAAGTCAAATCCCTGCTCTGCATATTTAAGAGAGGTTTTTTATTGTTATTACCTTAGGTCTCAGTTATGAACCTGAATTCTATTTTACTAGATGCAATACAAGGACAGAACAAAAAGGCAACTCCCACCTCCAAGGATTCACAGTAGAAGTACACAGTATAACCATATGACCACTTCACAGACAGCTGCACTGCTTTTAAGAGATTACAACTCCCAGCTGCCGTTGCTATCCTGCTGCTGGAGGTTACTGGTAGCTAGTTAAGTTGTACTCATGTCTATACTACCTGTTCCTCATCTACTGGAGTACGGAGTCAGTTAAGTTAGCTTTCCACACTCTCAACAGTGATATAAATTAAACTTACTGACTCTGCATTGAGGAATGAGGAACTAGTACAGAGCCCATTTACTGTATCTGCACCATGGGGGTAATAACAGTAAATAACAAGTGGCAATGAGCAAGCAGCACTTTGCTCTCAAACAGCCCCTGCTACATTGACAAGAGGATTTGTCTATACTTTCAGAACAGAGATGAATGTAGCCAGGTGTGTATGTCAAGGACAAAACAAAATGACATTGGTCAGTGAGATACATGCTAGTCCCAGCAATCCAGCAACATGATTGCTATTGATTTTATAGGCATAGTATAACAAGGGATCATTTTTAAGGCAGAATTTGTCAGATACTAATGAAAAATCTCAGTGCATGTTTGTAAGCAGTTCATGCTCTTAGGTCTCAGAAAAGTGTCCCAAATACAAGGTGGTTGCCTTTTCTGAAGTAGCTTTCTCTTTTACGTTATGAATCGGACTATCCAATTTGTGTAAGTAAACATCCGGCAAAACCTAGAACTATGGTTTCTCCCACTTCAGCCAGTTGATTCAACTGTTGATTGTTTCAACCCACAACAGCCGGTTGACTACCGGACTGTAATGTCAGAGACATGGATGACAGAATTCATCAGAAGACATGAAGGCAAGCTTCAGTTGTGGAATAATTGAGCAAACAAAATTGTACTTTCTGGCTTTCTAAACGATCTCAGAATATCTGCCAGCAGCATACCCTAAAACACTACCCCAAATAATGTAGATAGGCTCTCAAACTTGCCTCTAGTTTATGTTTTTCAGGTGGCCAAGTATGCAGTACATTAGAAAAATATATTAACATGGAAACACACATTTGGAGAGCATAAAGTCCACCAAATCCATGTGTCTCACTTCTTATTAGCTGGATCTCAGCAGCACTTCACTTAAAATTCCTGAATCCCTCTCCAGTAAAAAATACCCAACTTTCACCAATCTCTAGGCAACAAGCACTTAAGGAGAAGCTGGGCTGCACAAAAATAGTCCTAAGGCATTTGGAAGTTTGGCAAAAAAGAATTAGTGGCATAGATAACCAAGGCTTTGGTCATTTAGGGCTTTACAGGTCAGCAGAAGGAAGGGGACTCTACTCCCCTTTGGGCTTTGTTGACATTTTATTGGCAGACAGTGCAGACTATACTGGTAGGATGCTTTTTGTCAACTTGTTCTACTCAGTCCATGTGCCCTTCTGACTAGTTTGTGCATTTGCAATGTATTCTGTGAAGTCTGCTGAATGATATGGTCTCCTCTCTATTTGCTTTGCTTCCATTTCAGCATTTTGCTTGACTGCTGGCAGGCAGGCTGTTTACTTCATAGTAAGTGACCGAGAAACCTAATTTCCTTTATAAATTCATAAGGATTTTCAAAAATTAGTAACATATGTTTCACATGTAGCAGAAAAAAAACAAACGCAAAAGTGATCTGGTATTTCCTTCAAAGGCCATAAACATGAAACTGCTGGTTCTAGAGAAAATGGTTCTGAGGCATTCACAGGGCACAGTGCTGTGGTGGCTCAGAACAGTCAGCCTTCCTTGATGAGTAACCCTGATACTGTCTTCACAGCCAGCTATTCCGTAAGGAAAGCCGTTTGTGGAGAACTGGTGGATATACTTGTGCTGAGCACAGTTAGACTTTGGGAACTGTCTGCTTTTGTATCTTTTTTTGAAAGATGCTAGATAAAGAGGAAGAAACTTGCTTTCAGTGTTTCAAGTTAGAAAGACAGAAGTTGAAATATTAAGTATTATAATTGCAGTGTTATTTCACTTCAGATATTAAGAAATACCTATAAAACTTTACATAAAATTAACAAAGTTTATTTCAAAAATTTCGTGAATATTCTGTGTATAACAGCTAATTTAAGAACATTGTCTTTAATTCAAATGCAGCTTTTACTGCTACAGTGAACAGTCACTCTTACTAACACTTTCCATACAAGTTCTTTAGTTTATATCAGAGGCTGAAAGTACTCATCCAGATTTAAATGCTCTGTCACAGGTATTGAATTAACTCGACACACTACTGTAAAATGATATTTCTACTGCTTGTTAAGTGCCAATTTAGCAAAAGCATATCACAACACTTTATGAAAACAACCTATTTAGAAAATAAATAAGAAAAATAAAAGCTGCATCTCAAAGCATGTGTGCTTGATGAACATACACATGCTCTTGCAGCAATTGCAATAATGTATTCTTATATGAAATGAATGGAGAAGATTAAATGCTTTGTACTTAAACTTAAGAAACTGAAAACATTTGTCAAGGATAAGTAGGAAAATAATTTAAAAGGAAGTCAAAGGTATTCAAAAGAATGTAAATGGCTTTGTATTTTGTAAAGAAGAATGAAAACCTTTCACAGACGGAGACTGTGATGATCTCTGATCCTGTCCAAATGCAAATGGAAAACTGAAGTCATCTTTTCCATCTCCAAATGCATTAGAAGTCGATTCCGAGGGGAAGGGAAAGGCAAATGCATCCTCACTTTCTGATTTCCCAAACAAGCTTCCTATACGGAATACATATTATATTTATTATTAGATTAAATCTTAGTGAAAGAACACTGCATTCAGCATGATATGTTTCTTTAATAATATTGTACTCCTAACATCCCGCTGAGTATCAGCCTACAGTTGTGTTTATTTCTGCACTAGAAATGGTACTTCAAGAAGGGCATTATTAGAATCTACCTAGAATGAAATGTGAAGTACTTGAATGATTTAGAACAACAAAACACTTCTGCATTATATACTGGGTGAAATATTTTAAATACTAAGCAGAGGTCTTTGTAAACCAATATATTTTTGCAGATTCTTTCTTCTCTAAAGAACAATGCGATCAACCACTTAAACACTTGGAGAAACAAAGCTACAGATAGAAAAACACCTGAGTTTTATATTTAGTAGCAGAATTCACACTTTTCTCTACAACGGTTACATATGCATACAACCTTATATTCATCCACTTCAAAAAAAAGTAGCTTTGCACTTGCAGCACTCAAAAAAAAAGTAGATTACAGTTCCCTTCAAAAAAGGATTTGGTCAAGAGTAAGTTTTGATCCTATTGATATAATGAAAAATTAGCTTTTAATTTCAGTAAAGCCAGGATTTCACACAGAATGTGTAAGTGTGTGTGGCTCACTTAGTATGAGTGGAAGTTTATTAAGTCTGATTCTGTCTCTTTCACTTGGGCTATTTTTGCATTGTATACCTCCAATTGTTTAAACTGATAGAATTCAGTTTACCATTGAGACTTCGTTAACCAAATGGGAACTTTATTTACATTTTAGTTGAGGGAGGAAAAAACCCAACAGATGTACTCTTTCCAACAATAGGCTGGTAGCCTTAAGTTAAAAAGTAGTATTTACCAAGTACTATAGCTTTTTACATTAAAAAAACTGTTCTTTTTATCAGTGAAAAATCTTTGACACTTAATTTTTTCTTCTCCCTTGAATGTCCTCTCCGTTTGCTTTAAACCCACCTAACACTAACGCTATTTCTTTCTTTCTCACACCTCTGTTTTCATGACATCTCATACATTTGAAGTCAAACATGCTAGTCAAACACAAATGAACACAATAAACCACTGAACTACAATATCACCATTGTCCTTTTAGACAATCTTGTTAAGCAGGATCATGAGCTTGTCAGTCACATAAGCACACATAGAAGAGAGCTGGTATACACAAGTAGATCTGAGTTTCAGACTTACCTATATCTTTGTGTGGGGACAAAGAATTCAAGTTTCCCACAGAATAATTTTCCTCTGTCTGAAATGTAAACAGCCATTTTATTAACAAATTAGAAAGACAATATATAAGCACTAATGCCAATATGTAATAACTTCGTTCACTTTTGGTGAGAAAGACCCTGTCTCAGTGAATGTTAGCAGTCTTCACAAAATCTGCACTTAAATGTGTGTATCAGTCCCTAAAGCTGAAAGGTAAACTCTTTGATAAGATATGTTTCAAGACATTTGCTTACATCTGCAAACACACTCCCTACACTCTTCTGGAAAAAAAATGAGATTGAAAACACTGAAATATGATCTGGCTTATTCCTGCTTTTTAAACTGAAAAGATTCAAAATTATTTCATTCTGTGACATTTTAGAAAACCCTTCAACAACAACATAATTATTGCCTACTGAGGACCTGATATTGCCAGAAAGAGTAGCAGAATAACCACTCATCACTCTTCAGAAGAGTTCCTAGGCTAGATTTGCAACAGATAAACTTAAGTCCTTCAAAACTCCCATCTAACTTCAGACAATCCCATGACTGCTACAGGCTGGTAAATTCTTGGTTTCTGCTGCTGAGCAGGCACAAAATAATGTGAATTCTGACAGCACTAAGTGACTTAATACCTACCTCATTCCTAAACAATTCACAAACTGCTCACCACCTTATTCTCTCCTACACACAACTGATGCTAGGAGATATCAACAACATGTAGCTTGCCAAATACAAAATAAAATGGTATTTTCCCTCTTCTCTCCTTCTGCTTTTATCCAGTAACCTCAAGACTGAGCACACTAAAATAAGAGATACCTGGGCTCAGACCTATTTTTGCATGAATCTACATTGCCAGGGAGTGATACCTAACCACTGCACTATGCACTGACACACATCTACCCTGAATACCCAATTATCTATTAGCCTAGGAGAGTAAAAATTGCTCTAGGGCACTGTAGTTAGTGAACCTGCAAAGGAAAAGGAAGACCTGGATTCCACTCCCTGTTACAATTAGTTGCCTACCTATCTCCTCCATTTAAGTACAGCTATTCCATATTTGCTTTTCAATATTCCTAACAGACAGTCCTTTCTTTCTTTTCTCAGTGTTCTGCATTTTGTGAAAAATGGAGGGGAAAAAATAAAATTTTAAGAATCTGATTGCCCACTTCAGCAAGACAAAACCATACAGGATAGGCATGTGAGTTGTGAAGTCTTCTAGGGTACCTAAAATTTTGCATTACAACACTGAACCAGAAGCCTTTTTATGAGTCTAGTCACCTGTATATTTCCACAAGATCCAATCTTGCCCATATGGGAAAGATTCATAGTTGATCAGAAGTCATCATAGGTGTATTGCCAGGAAAGGAGATAAGCATTTGCAAAGGATATCAAATGTAAAATTAAGCAAGCTAGTAAAAAAAATATTTGCTACAAAAATAACCAGTCTGAGAAACCATGTTCACTATCAATGCTGTTTTCTTAGCATATTTTTCTTTGTGGATATTTAATATTCTCAAGTACTCATTTTTACCTCATCAGATGAATTTTCTGCCCCAAACACGGAAGAATCAAATAAATTAAAGCCAGGTGACTTCTGGGAGAAGTTCATGAGAGAAAAGAAAGCAGGAGATTTTGATGTTCCTTCTTCACAACCTAAACTGTGAATGCTGTAAAGACAGAAAGGAAGAAAGTACATTAATAGTTTTTAAAAGTAGCGTAGATGGCTTTTTTGTTCTATTTTCTCTTTTTCCTTTTTGTCACTTTTTTAGATTGCTTCTTGTGACACAGAATGGGTAACACAACTCCTTAAAGCAAAGTGAGGTGGTGTTCTTACCAATTCCCTACCCTTTTACGAAAGAAACTCTTTAAAGATAGAAATTAGTGTAACAAATATTACTGCAGGAAACAATTTTAGCAAAGGAGCTACAAAGAACCTGTGTGTCATATATTTCTAAGCAGACTCTCCCTCTTTCAAAACAGCTTCAAGTGGCAGTGATACTGGAAGAAGAAGAAAATCTAATAAATTATGTAGCATAACACAGAAAAAAAAAGGTTTATATTTTCAGAGAGCTTTCCAGATAAATCTTTCTATAGTATCTTTCAAAAAGAGTGGAAAAGCTGATACAATAAACATCAATACAATTTTGCTTAAAATAAAAATAAAAGCTGAAATCATACAAGTCAAATGGAGGTGTTTTAGAGAACTGGGTTTTCTTCCCCTTTGAGTCAGGCGTTCCTACAAACTCAGGTGTTTCAGGTACTCTTAGAAAATGTTCTGCACTTTCTTCTGCTGTGTCAAGATTATCTTCATTTGACTTAAAACATGTGTGAATGTCCTATTAAAAAGAAATATACAATAAAGTTTATGGCATATAAAATTTCCAAAAATATCATTACTCCATTTACCTATATATATATTCATTACATGTTTTAGGGTTAGCTAGTTATTTTTATTCTCATGAAAAATAAAAGGATTTTAATAAAATGCTCACAGTGACATATTTACCGTACCTAAAACTGTAACCTTAGTTTATCTAATTTAAAGTGTACTTTTGTGAATGAAACTATATATGAAAATTTTCATTCAAAAAATAAACAAACTTGTGAACTGACTGAAAACATTGATTTTGAATAAAAGGACTATTTCACTCTAAAGTATGTTTTAACATGCTTAAAGTCACACTGGAATCCCCTTGAAACTCCCTAGTGTAATCAAGGGACATCTCCATCAGAATATATTTCAGTTGACTGAGATATTTCCTCTTCCTCAGAAAATGTTAAATGAGAATGTACACTTGGATTCTGTGGAGCAATTTCCACCAGACTCAACGTTGTTTTAAAGACATTCTTTGCCACCAGCTGCCTGCAGGCATTAGCCTGTAGTGAGCTAACCAGAAGATGAGGAGTATCTCAAACTTGACCTTGTGTACTGGTTTTGGCTGAGAGTTCATAGCTTGTATGGTACTGTATTTTGGATCTGTGATGGAAACAGCATTGGTAACACAGGGATATTTTAGTTATTGCTGAGCAGTGCTTACACAATGTCAAGGCCTTTTCTGCTTCTCATGCTGCCCCACCAATGAGTAGGTTGGGGGTGCACAAGAACTTGGGAGGGGACACAGCTGGGACAGCTGACCCCAGCTGACCAAAGGGATATGCCATACCGTATGATGTGCTCAGCAATAAAAGCTGCTCACCAGTGTTAAACCACATCTTGATATCACCTATATATGCAAGCTTTATACACACCTGGCTTAAATATTATGGCATGGTGAGTTTGATCTTACGTTCAGGCACAGCTAGTAAAAGCAGTGCCAATGGAGCCATACAGACTCTGTAGCCGGCACAGAGCCTATTTGCTAGAGTTTTGTGGTGAAATGAGTTTCACATGCAAACGTTTTTTTAAATGTTTCATGAGCTCACACTGATGAAAAATATATGCACCAATTTATATAAAAACTATGACATGCATAGGATAGTCATCCTAAAGAGCCTATTGTTAAGGTAGCATAAAAATCCACAGAACACTGACATGATCAAGAGCAACGATCACTAGATTAGTAACCAGAAGGCACTGATTGACTTCTTACCTGTTGGATGCCTTATAATGAGTCACTTTTTGCCAATTTCTGAGACTTGCCTCTTGCCAATATATTCAAATGTCAAGATACTTTGAGTATTCTAAGTAAAATAATTATGACATAAGAAATGCTTTGCTTACTTGAGGCATATACAAAGAATCCTTTGGCTCATCTTCTGCTTCTTTATCACTACATTTGGTCTCTTGGTTTGCTGGACAAAAAAGACAATGCTGCTTGTATTACAACAGCATTTTAAATGGATAAATAAAATTACATTGTGGGAAAGAATCCTTAAAAAAGGTTTAATAACTTGGCATTTTTATTGTTAAGGAAATGTTATGACTGTAGTTTTCATAATAATCCAGTTTGTGGCTATGTCCATAATAGTTACCTCTCGTTCTGCCACTTACTATCGTTAAAGCAATGCTTAGGCTGCTTCATATGGTTTGGCATGTTCTTCAAACCTAGCTATTGTTCCCTGAGAGTGCTATGTTTGTCTAATCAAGCTATTGCCCTCTGAGAGTGCTAATACCAGTCAATGGAAACCAGGTGAAAAAAATATAAAAAGCACATCCATATGACACTGATGAAGTGTGTCTTAAAGAACTGAGCAAAAGCCAAGATGAGAAATGAGAAGAATGTTATCAGACTTTCTGCTCTAAGGCTCAGACCATGCAATGTTTCAAGCACTGTGGGTTAAGATCCTGTGTTTCAGGACACATAATTAAGATCCTATTTTTTGAAAAAATAGACTGTAATTTTTGACATGCATCTAAATTGGCAGTAGAATTAGGAAAAAATGTATTTAAACTGAAGCTCAGTGCCTTGTCATTTCAAAAACTATAGGTGTATTTGTAACTACCCTGTTTTGTTTCTGTAACCATTCTGTATGTATTTCTCAAGTTAATTTTCATTTTTAATAATCTGAAGCTTCAAGATTCCTAAATTACTGAGTTTATTATATCCCTTTTCTTTGCATTTTCTCATACCTTCCAGGCAGATTTTCTGACTGGATTTCATTTTACCCACGTAATTTGAGACTAGACCATGGATTTACAAGAGATGCTGGAAGGTTCCTTTCATTAGCAATGGTCAACACAGAATGAATCCCGCATTACAAAGCAATTCAGTCTCTATTTAAATTAGGACTCTGCCTGTCTGCTATACTCAAAGTTTGAACTAAACAATCAAGGTGGAAAGGAATACAAATGGTGGCCCACTTAATACAAGAATGAAAATTTGGCCCCTAGAATTCTTATAATTATATGGTGCAGCATACAGTAACTGCACATCCTATTGAAAAAATTACAGTGGTACGTTACCTATTACTGCATTTTCACTCTCAAACTGTTGATTAGAAGTCGTCTGTTTTGGAGGAATTACCAATCTAAAAGACAAAAATTACTGTTTGTCTGAATATGGATTATTTCCACAAACCTTAATCTCAAGAATGAAAACTATTTTATTAAAGAAAAATTACCTGAATTGCATTTGGTTCTGTAAGCTTGCTATTGATGGAACTTGGGCAATTTGTGGATTAGTAGTCTCTGCAGTGTCAACAACCATCTAAAACATAGCAAAAAAGCCAAATGAGGCAGCATACGAAATTGTCACTTCAACAATATCACTCTGATTTCTCCTTAGACTGTGGAAATCCCTTTTTTTAATCTCTCTTTAGGGGTCAGGCAACATAAAAACTTGTTTGCCTGTCTTTGCTTTACCTATGTTTTAACAGCATGATACCCAAAACAACTTCTATAATTCTTTATAAAGTCCCATTCACAGCATTGATGACTAGAAGTGAATAATTAACTTTTCTGTCACACAAATAACATTATGTAATTTACAAACTTTATCCAGGTTTTCTACTACTGCAGCAAGGTTGCTCCCGCTTGACAACACAGAAAGGGCTGGAGCCAGGCCTGTATCTACCTCTGAAAGCCAAAGTGAGTATGTGCATCAGTGAATATGTCTCCTGTGTGCATTGAAAAACTGCAGAAAACATGGAAATACTACTGTCTCGCAGATTTTCATCAGATCAGAAGCCCTAACTCTTATATGTAGCATGTATTTGTGCCTTAAGGGCAGAGTGGCACTAGGAATCTATGCCTCAGCATCAGATAACACACTATTTCACAGGGAACTGCTAGTTCTGGTTTGTTTTTAATTTGCAAAATGTATCGAATTTAATTCAATTCGGGGTGAGGGACAAAAGGGATGGTTATGCAGAATCTGTATGCCATTCAGCTCCTGTAGTTTACAGCACTCCTTTCCTGAAGCATAGCAACCTCCTTTCTGCTAATCTTTTTATTTTTCCTCAGACTCCATCTTCTTTCCCTTGTTGCCATCACCCTTTCTTAAAGTTCCCTTAACCTTGACTTACTGCTTCACACTGTTCTCTAAGTGCAATTCTAGGTCCCAGATTCCAATCCTCATCTCTGGATTACCCTGGCAACAGCCCTTCCATCATCCTCATCATGTTCAACTCCCTCAGCCAGTCACAAGTCAGAATTGCTTGAAATTTCTTCTGGTCTTGTTCCACTCAGTCTAGCCATTGCCTGTCATGTTGTCTTTATCTTATGAAGGTTTCTTCTTCTACCACAGGCTCCATCCTAAACCATTTAGCGATTACTCACTTCATCCTTCAGTTCTCTTGAAATTCTTAAGAAAATCACAACTGGTTCTGTTAATTGTTTACTTGACAATTTTTGTTGTTCATTAAAATTTGGTTTTAAAGATATCCAATGAGATGTCCCTTATAAAGAAAAGTTTTGGTATAGAAACTTCCCCAAACTTCTGCAAATTATTTATTTTATCTCCTGTGGCCTTATCTTATCTGAGTACTCCTTCTATACTTCAACAAACTATTGGTCCTGTGAATGTTCTTGCACTTAATGAGATTTTATTAATGGTTTTCATAACTGTGCAAGTTGTTCCTGCAACTTGTTTCTGAATTGTTTTGTTGTGATTGTATACTTAAGATATTAAGCTGCAATACACTTCACCTTTTCAAAAAAGTGCCATAGGAACTATTTGTTTATAGGGTGAGAGATGGAAAATATAATTGTGGACTGCTCAAGTGTACAAAGCAATGCTTCTCATGGTTTTATTCCTTTCAGCCCAGATTTTTGTTTCTGGTTAAACTTCAGAACTGAGCTGTTAACTGTAGGCAGTCCTGTGTAGCATCCTGCACATTTAGTCCTTTATGAAATCCTTAATTATGGAGTAGATGACTGACCATTAATCAGTAACAGAAGATTATGTTCCGTCTTTAGAATTTCAAAAATTTTTTACATACAACCAAGTGAATCTACAAAGGTTATTGTAAATTTTTAAAACTATTACACAAAATTATTTGGATAGATGGTCCACCTCAAGTTTGGCTACTAGTTGCACTTTGTAAGAACATACATATTTTCAGTTGAATTAGAAACGACACCAAAGAAAGATTTTTATTATGATTGCCAAGTAATAGGAGATTACCAAGATTAGCATCCTGGTTCCAATGTTAACAAGTTTTATGTAAGATATAATAGCACTAGGTATATTTGAAGTGCTTTAAATTTAAACCACCACATAAAACAGATTATGTAATTTTATGTTTTTACCAGTAGGAGAGCTGCATACCTGTAACGAATTTTCTGCAAGGCTGGAGGAACTGCTAGTAGCCACTGAAAGTTCCATAGGTTTTTCTTTTTCTTCTCTCCCTAAATTAACAAACATGAATTAATATTGTCAATAGGATTAAGTATCCAAAGCACAGCGTTGTTAAACTGAACTTGGGAACAAAACTTATAAATCCTCCTGTTAATAGAGGGCTAAAAGAAAAATATTACAAAATATGAAAGTATCAATCTCCTGCAAATAAGTCAGTTAATATTTACTGTACTTATGGAAACAGTGCTAAAGATATGGTTCAGAGTTTTCTGACACTATGCATCAGGTATACCTGTCATGTTACTTTACTCACGGCACGAATAAGAGAGGAATCAGACATAGAAGATTTTCAGAACATAAAGACAGGTAGTACCCAACTTCCATTGAAAGTCTGGCTTCAACTACCATAGTAGAAGCAGTTCACTAGATTTGTTATCATGGTTTCCATTCATTTACACAAAAATAATCCAAAATCCTCACAGGAAGATAATTAAACACACTGCACCTGTTTCTGTTCGTTGCATTGAGAATCTAATACTCTGTACAGACTGGACTAATTTCTGAGGAATGCATGGGACATGTAATGGTTTATACAGTTGATGTTTCTCATTTAGCAAAGATTGATGTTCACTGTCTTCAAATATCCTAAAAAAAATTAAGTTAAAAAAGAGATTAAGTTAACAATTACAAAAGAAAGGAAATCACAAAATACCACTGCTTCAAGTAAGTGGAATTTTCAAGGGAGATGCACTTTGCCAGGGAGGTTCTACCTCTTTCAGCTCCAGCAGTTGATAAAAATTGAAGTTTTCTTTAAATAATATCAGACAGAGAATACCGCTAAAAGCAGAAGACATAAAGTAGTAATAAGCCAATCAGAAGAACATTGCTGACAAATTTTGTCAGTATCAAAAAAAAGTATTAGTAGCTTGGGGTTTTACACTTTTATCAAAGTACTTCATTATCATGGTTCTGAAATCACATTTTCACATTTAAAAACACTTTTTATCTCTCTGAGATTGTCTGGAATACTCACACTATACATACACAAAAGAGAAAACTGCAGCAAGTGTTTTCACTTGTGGGGTAATTAGCTGCATAGTGTAAATAGCCTTTTACAGTGTAGAAAGATAAAGGTTAGCAAAATAATGCAGGGTAAAGTGGCTATTTGGCACAGGAACATTTGCCGTTTTTTAAAATTATGAATTCTATTTTTTTTTTTCTC